GAGCTGTGCTGACCCCTCCCCCCCCAGCAGACCAGGGGGACAGGAGCAAAGCCCAGGCGGCGGCTTTGCTCTGGTGTCCCTGGTCTGCTGGGGGGGTCCAGCGGCTTTGCTGGACCCCCCCCCGCAGACCAGAGAGACTGGGAGAAGCTTTTCTCGCCCTGGAGGACACGGGTGGCGACCCGCCGCCCGTGAGCTCCGGGGCGAGAAAAGCCCCGTTCGTAAGTGCGGAAGTCGGATCCGCGTAAGTCGGGGACTGCCTGTAACTACTCTCTGAGTACAGTTATCCAGCCAGTTATGCACCCACCTTATAGTAGCCCCATCTAAGTTGTTTTTACCTAGTTTATTGATAAGAATATCATGCGAGACCGTATCAAACGCCTTACTAAAGTCTAGGTATACCACATCCATCACTTCTCCCTTATCCACAAGACTCGTTATCCTATTAAAGAAAGCTGTCAGATTAGTTTGACATGATAATCACTAAAACAAAAGTGATAGGGAGGCCACTAGTTCCCTCCACTGCCCTTTCTTTGTAACCCCTCTAGATACATACACTCATTATTTTGTGAGGAGTTAAGCAAGCACTAAGGCTGGTTTTTGTGAGAGTGGCTTAGGCACTAGAGAACCTAACTCCAGGTGAGAGATACCCAGCAAGGAAACATTGACAGCAAACTCTGAGGGTACATCTACACTTGCACCCTAGTTCGAATTAGGGATGCAAATGGAGGTGACTGAAATAGTAAATGAAGCGGGGATTTAAATATCCCACGCTTCATTAGCATAATCTCGCCCGCACACTGTTAAGGACTGGAAACAAATAGCTATCAACATCCATGACTTACTTTGCAAAGATTTAGACACTAAATGCAACTTTACTATTATGTGGTTAGGTCTGTTGTCATTCAACTGAGAATAAATTTGTATTCCTTATTTGCATGAAGCACCTCATTTGAACATATGGTTAACTGTTTAGCTTAAAAGCTAGAACTGAAGACTCATATTAGTGTTTCTCAACTTATTAATTGATTCTCGACATTTCAAGCAAATATATAAATCAAAGCATTTCTAACTGTTCTTCGTGAGGCTTTTTTTCCCTCCAAATCAGTAGCATCTAGCATTTGGCAACCACATTATGAGGCTGACAGGTCTTTAGAGAAAAGTTCAGCTAGACCTCGCTAATGACTAGCTTTTAAGAAATATCCATTCCATCACAGAGAGCAAAACCAAAACATTTTAAAATGTGTTTAATGCATAATCACTCTTAATTTTCAGAAACCACTTATGAAGCCCAAAGCATAATAAATGAATAATTCCTTACTCCATTGGGGAAAGCATCCCTGGTAAATATGGGCCAAGTTCTCCAGTTAACATCATGCCGGTATTGTGTGTGGACGTGTTCTCCAATTCCATAAATGTTGCTGCTGGGCAGTTTGATTGAGAGCTGTAAAAACTGGTCAGCATACTGAAGTGGTCCTATGCTAGTATCAAACCTGATTAAACAATGTAAAAAAACAAAACAAAAACACAATTTACTTACCAATACATGGAAATATTGTTATTGAAAAGCTAAATTCTATGGCTCCATAATACACATTTATTATCTTCCAGTGTTTGTTGTGTACACCTGCCTTAAGGCAGAGGCAGTGTTGAAGGCCCTATGTTCCATAAGGAATAAAAGGTGGCATAAGTCAAGTAAGTCATACCAGTATAAGTGCTTATATACTAGGGGGATTCTACTTTAAGAGTAATGGGTATATTTGAAGCAGTACTTTTTGTGTATAGACTGCCCCTTAGAATATTAAGGTTTGTGATTAGCAGTTAAGAATAAATAATGCATCAATAAGTCAGTATAATGGAAAGAGTTTGGGCTTTTTGCAATTTTTATTTTTATTTTTTACTCATTATCAGTAAAAATAATAATAACAGTAATATAACAATACTGAACTGTAAAAGAGGGTGTTATGGACCAGATCCTTAGCTGGTGCAATTTGACATAGCTTTAATGATTTCATTAAGGATCGGTATTAATAGATTTTTATAAATAATAATTATTTGATGGAAAAAATATTACTTTTAATGAACTACCCCAATGATCTGTGAATTTTGTTTTGAGCTGTAGTAATCATAGGTAATTATTGGCTTATGAAGTTTCAATTTTTAATTGGTGGGACTTCTTATAATAATGAAGGGCGATGGAAATTATTAGATTATAGGCTTAGATAATCATGTACAGGAGTTGGATGTAACTGAATGCCCTGCTTTTTGTGGGTATTTATGGTAAATGCAGTGGTATGTATTTTTTAAAAAGAATGAAAGTAAATGTGGACAGTCTTTCAGCAACGTCTAATTCATGTGATTTTTTTTTCCAAACTGGTTCCCTTCAACTAGATTCATGGTCACCTGCATCCCCCTATTCAAACAAGTCATGAACCATTCATTGAATACTAAATCTATCTATTGTGCATTTAATACTGGTGAATTGATCATTCTGGAGGATTTTAACCTCAATTGGGTAAACAATAATAATAATAGACTAAGATTAAGAGCCATGAATTAAAGTTGAAGAGTTGATAACAATCCCAATTAAATCAATCAATTGGTTGATTTAATAAGCACATTAGCCATGACTACTGGATTTCAATGTTAGGGAGAAAAATTTATTTTCAAAAATGTCAGAGATCGAAGTATTTAATATGTTTATAAGCATTAAGAACTTTTAAACATTTTAAACCTTGTCAGTGTTAACTGGCACCATATTTTCCCAGATATCAGATGCCCAGCAGCAATATGATTTGGTAATTCAGAGCTTCAAACTATTTGTAACAAGCACATTCCATAATACAGTAGACTTCTGATAATCTGGAACCTATGGGACCTAGGTAGTGCCAGATTATCAGATATGCCAGACTATCAGGAGGTACTATAAACTGGTTTTATATATATACTGTATACATTATATACTGTATATAAAGTGTTCTTAACCCTTTTTATTGTACATACTGTATACAGTATACTGTAATGTTTTAGGTTTTTTAAGCCTTTTTTACTCTTTTTGCTCAGTTCAGCTACTGCCACTGTTACCTTGTGACTCATTTTTGCCAAAGCTCACTCACTAGGCTCTTGCCATTTTCATGCCGGACTATCAGGAGTGCCGGACTATTGGATGCCGGACTATTGGAGTTTTACTGTATGCAGTTACCAGGGTTCATATGTGATTTTATTAAGCACTGGGCTGGCCCGTAGCCTCTCTCTCTCTCTCTGATGGCACAAAGCTCTCTTAATTGGGCAGATGAAGGTTCTCTGTATGGGAGAATCCCCAGGTGGCACAACAATTTTGTAGTTTGGGGTACCGAGAGCCACTGAATCAAACTGTAAACCCCAAATATAATAGGAACCACTTCAACCTGGGGACCGAAGGCAGCACCTTCAGAAATCCTAGTTCCAGCACTTATGGACATAAGGCTGGCATAGCATCAAGGCTGTTGGGGGAGAGGAGAGATGGCTAGATTTCTTTGGAAACAATTATAAACAGGCATAGGTTAGAGCAGCCCTGAACTCCTGAGGCTACATAGCTGGAGGTGATACTGTGAAGGCTCTTTCTTAAGATACCTCTATGCTGCCTGATGCTTCCAGAAGTACATAGAGTACGTACATGGGTAGTCCACCTAGCATGAATATAAGTAGCAATGTAGACAATGAGGGACTGCTTAATCTAGTAGAGTGAAGACATGGGGGCATACCCTACACAACTCTCAGCTCATCCAAACAGTGCCTCTCCATCTAACACTCCTACAGCCTCCTTTCTGCTGGAATCCTTCCCCACACAGGAAAAGAGTCAAGTGGGCAAAGGCTAATCTTTCCCCATTGCCTCTCCCCTCCTGCCAGAACCCTTCATTAACCCATGGATCTACATGCTTCAATATGGACACAGCTTTTTTTTTTTTTTTTTTTTTTAACTGTAGCATATAGCTATGAATACTTAAGATGTCATTGGCAGAAGGTTTATGTATAGCTGTAGCCTGAGATGCTTGGTCAGTGTGTCTTGTACACACAGGGCATGTCTAAATTACATCCCTCTTTCAAAAGAGGAATGTAAATTAGACAGACCGAAATTTCAAATGAAGCCGGGATTTGAATTTCCCGTTCTTCATTTGCATAATGGCAGCTGCATGTTCTTTCGAAAACTGGTATTTCAAAAGTGAAAATCATCTAGACGTGGTTCTTTTGAAAGAAAAACTCTTTTTCGAAAGATCCTGTATGCCTTAAAAAATGAGTTTTACAGGATCTTTCAAAAAAGGGGGATCAGATGATCTAATGGTCCCTTCTGGCTTTTAACACTGTGAAATTTACACCAGGGAACAAAGCACTGCCAGGACCACAAAAGAGGAATAGTTTACAGCCATCTTCCCATACCCATCTCTTATGTTCTGCACCAAGCACACCTTTACTGAACCCCAGGACAATAAATAATAAATGAGATATAAATTAATGTGGATGAAAAACAAAGAAGGTTGACCCATAAACTGTATAGAAACAAAATTCGCTTCCCGACTGGGTGTTTTGTGTGTGGCATTTGCATGATTCAGAGCCTGCACCTTTGACATATTGAACGAAATATTACTCTGAACAATGGCATAATATTGTTGAACCAGAAAATGCTACAAAGATTTTATAAAGTGAATCATTCTTCCTGATGATACAACTGTGGAATTGTTGAGGTCGCAGCTATGTTCTCATCAATAATACATTGATGAGAGTATTTCCTGCTTTTGCTAGTTGCACAACTCCCACTACTGTACTCACAGCTTCCTCTGAAATATCGAGCTGTTGCAGAATCACTTAGAATTCTGTAACTTCTGACCCCATCCCATCCCCCAGCTAGTTTGCCTTTCCCCAACTCAAAATCATTAAAGATCAACTGAATACCAGCTAAAGACACTGTTAAGTGTGACCTGAAAAGGAAATGGAATTGTGTTTCTGCCCTTTTTTTGGTTTATTATGACAGATAATGAAGGCTGGATTTTTTTTAATCTCTCCCCCATGGCTTTGTGTGCAAAAGAAATTCTCTATAGAATATCTCAAGACCTGCTACACTTTCTTCTCTTCTTTGGGTCTGACTAGGTCATGTTCCAGTAAACCACTTTAGCATATACACATGGGTAACTCACAGGGCTTGACAATTAATGTAATCTACTCGCCTGTGGCGAGTAGATTTTAGCCCAGCGCGGCCGCACATCGCTGTCAGCGCATGCGTAGTGCGGTCTGCACATGCGCAGCATGCGGTTCCGCACGGCTGGCGAGCGGGGCTCGCCGCCGATTGGTGAGCCCTGGTAACTCACATACTTGAACGAAACCACATGACTTTGTGATTTGGGCCCAAGCAAGTACTAGGGATGTTAGATAGCGATTAATTGAATAGCCGTGTAACCTCATCAAATTTGAGGAGAATTTACACAATTATTCGACAGTCACCGAGGCCGGATCAGCAGCCAATGCGCTCCCTGCCCCAGGGAGTCCCTTGCCACCCCATGCTGCTCTCTCTCTATCAGAGGCAACAGCATGGGTGGTAGGCAGGAACCAATCTGTGAGGGGAGCCAATTTAAAAACCAGCTCCCCATGCAGACTGGCTCTTGCCTGCTGCCCCACATTGCTGACTCTGACTGCACCACACTGCTGACTCTTGATACAGGCGCTGCTGCCTCCATGGACAGGAGTAGTGCCATCATCCCACGGAGCAGCCTCTGTCTGCAGCAAACCTGGGCCTGCCACGGACAGTGGCTACTCCACAGCAACCTCCCCTGCCCCCCTTCTGCGTGCTGCTGCCTCTGATATGAAGGAGGTGGCTCTCTGGAACTGGTGCAGCACTGGTTCCTGTCTGCTCTCCCTCGCTGCCTCTGTGGGAGGCAGCAAGGGAGGGGGTCAGGCTGTTCCACGGAGCCGACATGCAAGAAGATCTGGCTGATAGCGAAGCAGCAGCATGGGGGGGGGACAAGTGTCTCATGTCAGTCGATAGGTGCGGGGGAACTGGTTTGAAAGCTGGTATCCCACATGCACTGGCTCCTGCCTGCCCCTCTCATCATCCATGCTGCTGCCTCTCTATCAATGACTATGCAAAAGTACATTGAAATGACTATGCAAAGTATATTACATTTGCCCATGTAAACGTAGGATGTTGTGAAGTACAGGACTTTAACATGGTTCAAAAAAGAACTAGATAAATCCATGGAGGTTAGGTCCATCAATGGCTATTAGCCAGTATGGGTGAGAATGGCGTACTTAGCCTCTGTTTGTCTGGAAAAGATGACAGGAGAGGGATCCCCTGTGGTTACCTGTTCCATTCACTCCCTCTGGGGAATCTGGCATTGACCACTCTTGGAAAACAAGATACTGGGCTTTGGTCTGCCCCAGTATGGCTGTTCTTATGTTCTAAATCACTGAACTGGGTACACAGATTATGTGCAATTTAATGTGATTTTGGACAAAAATATCATCAATGTGCAGTTGCACAGGTATTTTTGAACAAAGACATCACAGCTCCTTATCTGCACATTTGATCCTCAGTTCAACTGGACAAGGTACTAGTGCAAAGAACAATGGTACAGTGGCAGGGAAATAGACTAAATGGCTTTACTGGAGTTTTCATTCACTCTCTTACAGGTATTATTTTACAACATGATTTAAGGTTTCACAGAGAACATCTTATTGCAGTATTAGCTATAGGAAAGCACAAAAATTACTTACAGTGTTTTGCTATTGCTTGTTCTCACCACGATGATACCAAAAGGGTTCTGATTGACATGGACACTGTACTTTAAATTGGTGGCTGCAGATCCTTTAAAAGCTTTTACATGCTCATGAGGAACTTCAAATCTTTGTTTATTAGGATCAGTTATCTGCACAAATTAAACAGTTACATTAAAATCAGCAGAAGTCCAAATATTAACTTCTACTACCAACCAGAACATTGGCTCCTTTCTGCTCCTGTCTCCCCTCTCCTCTTTACTGCAACTCCAGGCCTACGAAAATGGCTTGAGTATTTGAAAGATGCCATTGGAACTTTAATGACTACAAGTAGTCAAGAATTGGATTCAAATCTTTGTTTCAAATCTCATTCAAAAGATGACACTTCTAGAAACGCTAGAAACTCATTGGCTTGTTGGGGCATTGGTTCAATATTGACTCACAGTAAAAAGGTCTAAGCACTGAATAATCAACAGGGCCTATTACAGTTCTCCATTTTTTCTTTGAAGGTTTCTCATCCAAAGATGATGCAGTTGTTAACATGTTTATATTTACTTTATAGACTGCATTTAATCTCAACATTACTGGGACTTTGTTTTAGGGATAATAGGGAGTTTATAACTGTATCACTCAGACATTTGTTTTTTACCCATTGCCCAGTTTTTCATTTCTAACATTGCACAAATGTAGGAGTTTCAGCTCAGTGCCGTGGTCCAATAATGTTGGATAATTACATCCTAACTATTCATTTTCCAAGTTGATATGGTATTGTTCTTCAGTACATCTCCCACATTGTTGTAATGTGCTATGAAACTGCTAGAGCACGCCATTTGAGTCTGTAAAGCACTTAGGAAGTCTTTAGGATAAAACAAGTTAAGACTAGAGAGACAGGGAAAACTCTTAATGGTCTCACTACCAATCCCTCATCCATTCCCTTCTCCAGTGTTATGAGGCAGTGTAAAATACCAATCTTAAACAGCACAAGAAACAATGTAACCTTGAACCGGAAGCGATTTGCTGTCTGATATTCTCCCGTGAAGAGGACAGTATTAATATCATTTCCAAATAGGGAAGGTGAAGGCAACCTTGTTAACTTCGCTTCAAGACCTTCAAGAAAAAAAAAATATCAGGGTTGCTTTATTGCACCATGGAATCACAGAAATAGAAAGCTAGAAGAAACCTGAGACAGGGCCATTGCCTGGTGCTTTGCTAGCCTTATAGAACATCAAAAGATGGAGACTACACAAACTCCTTTGGAAGTCTAGTCCAGTGCCTAACGATTTTTATAGTTAGAAAGTTCTTTCCATTATTTAACTTACATCTCGCTTGCTACAGATTAAGCCCATTACTTCTTGTCCTACATGGATAAGGGAAAATGACTGTGGACATGGGACAACGATTGATCACAGTCTTCTTTTGAAACAGCCCTTATTTGAAGATGGTTATCAGGCCCCTTGCACTTCCATCCCAATCTTCTTTTCTCAAGACTAAACATATTTAGGTTTTCATTGGTGGTGGTTTGGTTTTGTTAAACTTTTCTCAGGTCAGGATTTCTAAACCTTTTCTCATAAACTAGATCTACATCTCTTATAGCTGATACCCTAAGGATTCATGCATTTGGTGTGCATCTTTTGAAATATTTACTATGAAATCAATATATACATTACAAAGGTCTACATGGAAGGTTCATATATTAAAATATCATTTGTTTATACAGACCTCCAATGGGTGCAGGGAACTTTACAGCATGAATGCAAAGAGATGGCCCCTCCTCTAGGTAGTTTTCTATTTAACTTTACACATGATGCAACAAGTGAGAATAACAAATGAGGGGGATTGGGCAAGAAAGGACAAGGATTTTCCGAATGCCATGCAATGACTCAGGGCTAAATTATGGCTTTGCCATAAACCCTGGATATGGGGTTATGTTATCATTGCAGTACCCCAGGAACTGGACACAATCTGCTTCCCAGTTCTCTCTGCTTTGGGTAGATGCTTTGCCAGCTTGATTTTGCCTTAGTGGCTACCTCTAGTCTAAGCTCTGCATGAAGCAGGTTACTCATGCAGGAAAGCAAAACGGGCTACATGAACATTTTGATGATATTATATCAGTTAGCACACAATGTTTTATACATCCTTTAGTTTTAGGAACCTAACCTCCAAGGTGGGCCGGAATCAGGATTGTAATGATACTATTCAAGAGAGACCAAAGAGCAGGCAGAGATTAGTCCCAGCCAGTGGAATAGAAATACTAGGTTTTTCAGAAACGTATCACATTTCCCCCAAGGGGGGATGGGTTGTGATAGGACAGTACCTGTGGGAAATTTAAGTTACTTTCACTCCTGAGTTTATATACAGAAATATTGTTGATGAGTATACTGTGATAGTAACTTGCACACCAAGGATGTACTTTACCATGTGAAGACAGCTTACTACTTACCTGTACCTGTGCTCTTCACATTTCCCTCTACTTTATACCCATGACTTTTGGAGAAGAAGCACCAGGGTATGTTTGTTTCATTTTGTGGACTCCAGCAACAGCCACGCAGTGTACATATGCTCTGTTCCAGGATCAAGAAGAATTTGATATTAACATGACTGATTAGAATCAAATAATCCAGATGGAAAATCATGCCTCGTGTGTTTTTCAAATGCCAGCAAATTCTGTTATAACTTTCACAAGCACTCCTCTTTGAGGAAATCAATAGTTGTTTGAATGTATAAGAACAGGACAGAAACAAAGAGTATTTTTTTTTCTAAATCCAAGGTAGAAATGAGTAGATTAGTTCAGGAAAACTAGGAAGTCTTGCTTTTCACTCATACTGAGAACCACATTGTAAGGGAGTCTTTCTTAAGGTTCTGAAATGTTTGGATACTTTTGTTTATGAGTATTTGCATTTACAGGAGGCTCCCACTTGCAATGCTATCCGCTATTCATTCCCGGGGAAGTGTCGCAAGTCGGGGGTGTCGTAACTCAAACCCTCATTTATGATAGGAACCATACGCCCTCGTAAATGCAAGCCAAGGATGTAAGTCGGGGGGGTCGGCCCCTTCCGCACTTACAAAAATGATTGCAAGTGGGGGGGTCGGAACTCGGAGGATCACAAGTTAGGGGCCTCCTGTATTTGTAAATTTCATCTGGGAACAGAAATTTCAAAAAAGCTGATTTTTAATCAAATTCTTAGCCCACTTAGGAAGAGCCAACAGCTTCATTCATGGTTTGGATAAGTATCAAAATATCTGGGTGCTATACTGGACCAAAACAAAACTCCAAACCTTCTTCACCTTCTCCTATGGAAAATTTAATATGGAAGACTTGTTCATTTTTAAATGGACAGTCCAAATAAACACTTTCTGTTGTTAAATTTTTGCATAACACAGTGATATTGTGGAGTGAGGAAATACTCCACAATATTTCACTGCTCATCTAACTTCCATTAATTTAGTGGTCTTTTCCAAGATAAAAAAAAATCTACAAATAATTCAAGCAATTTGCAGATTTTCTCATCTGTTCATAGATAAAATCACAGGCAAACTCTTGGCAAAAAGCAGAATAACAGATTTATTAGTTTATAATTTGCTATAAAATGTGGGATAGCAATCAGCCTTAATCCTATAGTAAATTGTGAACTAAAAAGTCTGTAGCTACGTTTCTTTAATCTGAATCATGAGTAGAGTTGTATGAATAACCAATTTTTCAGTTCAGTGACTGAATTAAAAAAAAAGTTTCAGGATAACCCAAAACAAAACAAATAATCAAGTTTTTCAGTGAAGTAATGTTTTCTTTTGCCACAAAATAAATCACAATAGGGTAAACATATACTGTAGCTCTGTATGCATGTTCACTTAATTATCATAGCTTTTCTATTAGTTATTAATTTTTTATAGGTATTGATGCCCATTTATAAGTAAAAGCAATTTTGCGTACCTTTATATTCTTTCTGAAGTCCACATATTACCTCACAGTATGGAAAAAAGTGATCATTTGGGTCACAATGAATTAGTAATATTATAAACTAGTGGAAATCAGAGTACCTGCCTACCCTAACAAATCCTAGAATTGGTGAAAAAGTGTTGACAAAAATAAAATTTCAATAAATAAAATGGAAAAAAAATGTAATGAATGCATGTCTCTGTTTTCCAGACAGATCTAACAAATCCGTTTAGAATATTTTTTCAGCTTCCACTGTAAAGTTTAGCAACATTATAAGAGATAGACCGGATTCCATATAACAGAGTTTATATCACCAAGTGCTCCATTGTTTCACTGGCTTCCCATCCATCTCTGAATCTAAATTGCTCTCTTGGTTTTCAAACTCTCCCTGAGCTTGTTTCACTATGTGCAGTTAGGGTGTGTTTTCACTGCACCGTTATTTCGAGATAACTGGTATTATTTCAAAAGAACTGGTATTATTTCAAAAGAACAATGCAAGCATCTACACCAAGTGAGTTATAAGATCAAGAACACATATTCCTGCGCATCCAGAAATATAATCTATGCTATCATGTGCCGAAAGTGTCTGTCTGCTATGTACATTGGACAAACATCTCAGACACTTCGCCAAAGGATTAATGCCCACAAAACAGATATCAGACAAGATCACAAAGAGAAAACAGTTTCTTGCCACTTTAACCAGAAAGGACACTCTCTAAATGACTTAGCCACCTGCATTCTGCTACAAAGACCTTTTACATCTGCACTTGAAAGGGAATCCTCTGAACTGTCATTCATGTTAAAATTCGACACTTACCAACAAGGACTTAACAAGTCTTTGAACTTTCTCACCCATTACCAAGACAGTTTCCCCAATTATCACCTGTAATACCATTAACTCACAAACATCCCACTCTCCCTACCTTTAATATCAGCAATTCACAGACACTTACCTTCCTTCCTCCCCCTTCCCACCCCCCCGCATCCCCCTTCTGTTCTGCAATGTGATTTGTCCTTTTCATATTTGTTCATTTTTTTAAATTGTATCCTTTGGTATATATGGTTGTGACTACTTTCTTCCACTATTTGATCTGAGGAAGTGGGTCTGGCCCACGAAAGCTCATCATCTAATAAACCATCTTGTTAGTCTTTAAAGTGCTACATTGTCCTGCATTTTGCTTCAGCATCTACACAGTCATTCCATTATTTTGAAATAATTTTGAAATAATGGATGGCTTATTCCAAAGTCTGTAAACCTCATTCTATGAGGAATAATGCCTATTCCAAAATAGCTATTTTGAAATAAGATGTGTGTAAATGGTCCACTACTACTATTTTGAAATAGTGTCTCACCAGGACCATTCTAAATTATTCCTACTCAGTGCCCCTTAGGGCTCTAAATTAAGACAGCACATCTACTTTAGGGAAGCTTGCTTTGGACTAATTTTGAGGCTTAGTTGCAGTGTGGATGTGCCATTTCAAAATAAGCTATTAAATAAGTTATTTTGGAATAATTATTCTGGAATAGCTTATTTCGAAATAAGCATGCAGTGTAGATGTACCCTTACTGACTATTGGCTTGTATAGGCTTACAGCACTGTTGCTAGCACTGGTATAGCTGGAATGTTTATTGAAGACACTATCTAGGCCAACAGGCCAGTTTATCCCATTGACATAGCTACAGACCTCAAGGAGTTGTACCTATGTCGCAGAAGAAGCAACTCCCTGGGATCTGTAGCTATAGCGCTGTGTGCACAGGGAATTTGGTTGGTGTAACTACAGTACTCAAGGATGTGGATTGAAAAAACGTTGATCTATACCCTTCTTTTAAGGCCACTTTCCTAATAAAATATTTCTATCAACACTATTTCAGATACTATATTTTACAGCACTATAAAAAAATAATTGAATTGTTCTGATATTGCCACCAGTTTTAGGGATATTCAAAAGGATATTAGATCCAAAATTGCTATAGTTTAGAAAAACTTACGTATCATGCATAGAATATAATCATCCAACTCTGACTCAGCACTGGTTCTCATCTTGCAAATATTTCCTATGTACAGGCAGTCCCCGACTTACGTGGATCCGACTTATGTTGGATCCCTAGATACGAACGGGGCTTTTCTCGCCGTGGAGGACTCGGGCGGCGGACCGCCCAGATGCGCTGCAGTCCCGCCGCCCGTGTCCTCCGGATGCATAGAATATAATCATCCAACTCTGACTCAGCACTGGTTCTCATCTTGCAAATATTTCCTATGTACAGGCAGTCCCCGACTTACGTGGATCCGACTTATGTTGGATCCCTAGATACGAACGGGGCTTTTCTCGCCGTGGAGGACTCGGGCGGCGGACCGCCCAGATGCGCTGCAGTCCCGCCGCCCGTGTCCTCCGG